ACGGGAATAGATAATAACAGAGCAGTGGAAAAACAGAGCTGACTAGATACATTTCTTGGGAATTGCGTTATGAAATTTTAGATGAGAAAGAGAAAAGAAAAGCAGGGCAACTGATAACTCAGGATACCACAGTCTCAGGACGGCTGAAGCAGCACACTTTAGATGGAGAAACACAACTGCCAGAGGCGTGCCAGAAAGCAGGAAGTCGAGGCATCCCTAAGGTGGGCCATCCATCAACCTCAGGGGTACCATGCATTTGGCTGGAATGTCTCAAGGCTGAAGGAGAGGGGCGTGATCTGGTGTAATCAGCAGTGGATTAAGGGATGGGCCCAGTTCAGTCATTTCCTTCACATCCTCCCCACCCCAACCATGAATTCACCGCTTCCTTCTTCTCTCGGGGATTCCACAGTCATCTGTTATGGGAGTGATTTAATTGAGCTGGCAGAAATTAGGGAAAGCAGGTTGGCTCTGAAGCTTTTCATCTGGAGTGTCAGGAAAGCGATATAGGAAGCAGGAACAGGAGAACATAGAGGCTTTTATGTAAGATATACCTCATGTGAAAGATTTGGAGAAGGATGATGACCGTGCAACATAAGGACAGAGGTGCAATCAATAGAGCTGAGAAAAACACCTCATTTATTCAGGGCGTTTGGGTTGCATGGAGGTTTAAAGAGGCCATTATGTGGCTTGAAGGTTCTCGGAGGAATGTCAAAGTTTCTTTAAAGAGAAGAACGCTCTGGAACAAAATTCCAAGGTGCCAGCCTCCTTCAGTACCCCTTTTGCTGATTTAATTACACCTTACCCACCAGTGGCAGCCCTGGCATGGCTGCACTCGCCAATCATGGTGCTTCTTCCTGCTCCAGCCTGAGAGATCACATCTGGTTTGGTGCCTTCATACCTGTTCCGAGGGAAATGATCCAGGGCCTGGGATTGAGCTCCTTTGGTCTTCAGGCTCTTCAGGCAGTTAAAGGCTTGGCCAACAGATATTAAACTTGGGAGGGACTAAACACACACTTGTCTAGAACAAATGGGAATTAGTTTATCCAGGAGCACGGAAACTGCAAGCATACCCCACTGAGGCAGCGCACAGCGGTAAGAATGCATTTCTGTGCCGCCAGAACACGGGAGGTTCAAAATCCTGACTCTGTTATTCTACTAGCTGGTGACTCGTGGGCAAAGTTACTTTCACCTTTCTGTACCTCCAATTTCTGTAAAAAGTGGTACTATAGTAACTACCTCATAAGGGCTTTTATGAGGATGAAATGAAGTTACATATTTTAAAGTGGCTAAAACAGTTCTGGACCATAGAAAGTGCTAGATTAATTATATTAACAATAAATAATTATTTGAAGTTATTAATAATTCAGAGTCTCTAGGACTTCAGTTGCTTTTTTTTTTTTTTTTTTTTTTGAGACAGAATTTCACTCTTGTTGCCCAGGCTGGAAGGCAATGGTGTGATCTCAGCTCACTGCAACCTCCACCTCCCAGGTTCAAGCGATTCTCTTGCCTCAGTCTCCCAAGTAGCTGGGATTACAGGCACCTGCTTCCACACCCAGCTAGTTTTTGTATTTTTAGTAGAGACAGGGTTCACCATGTTGGCCAGGCTGGTTTCAAACTCCTGACATCAGGTGATCCACCTGCCTTGGCCTCCCAAAGTACTCCAGTTGCTTTTAGCAACTGAGAAAGGAAAGGTGGCCATTTGAACATAATCTGCATTGTATGGTGAAGGTGTTCTTACCCACTGAGACGAGGTTGCTATAGGTTTCCAGCATCACATCCCGGTACAGGGCCCTTTGAGCAGGACTCAGCCGGTGCCACTCCTCTTGGGTGAAGCCCACAACTACATCTTTGAATGACACAGGTGTCTGTTGAAACAAAAATGACATTGAGTCATGTAGAAAAAAATGTGCATGGCCAGGCATGGTGGCTCATGCCTGTAATCCCAGCACTTTGGGAGGCCAAGGCAGGAGGATCAGGAGTTCAAGACCAGCCTGGCAAACATGGTGAAACTCCATCTATACTGAAAATACAAAAATTAGCCAGGCATGGTGATGCACACTTGTAATCCCAGCTACTTGGGAGGCTGAGGTGGGAGAATCACTTGAACCTAAGAGGCAGAGGTTGCAGTGAGCCGAGATCGCACCACTGTACTCTAGCTTGGGCTATAGAGCAAGACTCCATCTCAAAAAAGAAAAGAAAAAGAAAAAAAGTTTGTGCAAGAGATGGTGCTGATTTCCATAATGTTTATAAGTTAGAGCTTATTATCTATCTGGAAGGTCTTTTATAGTCTTGGCTTTGTGTTATATATGGTGGGGAAAACGAAAATCACATTGGAAGCTATCTACCATTGCCATTCATACTTTGAGTCAACAAAAATTGAAGACCTACTGTGTGTTGCTGGGATCACAATCATAGATGGGTCCTGACCTCAAGAAGCTCACTGTCTGGCACAGAGAGAGCAACATGTAAAGCCATCAGGGTAAAAGTGTCACAAGAGCTGTGATGGCAGGACATCTAGGCTATGGCATACAGAGAAGCGAATGGTCTGTTAAATTTTTTAGGGTCCGGTTAGGCTTCAGAGCCCAGGGATATGGAAAGCTGAGTCTCCCCAGGAAGACGGAAAACTGCATTCTATGCAGGGGAGCAGTGGGAACAAAGACTGGGGGGCAAAACGGCGATTTTAGGGGTGGCAAGTTACCTTGTAACAAGAGAAAAGCATGTAGAGGTCGGCCAGCAATGAAATGATGTGCTTTAGGGCCGGGCGTGGTGGCTTACCCCTGTAATCCCAGCACTTTAGGAGGCTGAGATGGGTGGATCACCTGAGGTCAGGTGTTCAAGACAAGCCTGGCCAACATGGTGAAACCCCATCTCTACTAAAAATAGAAAAATTAGCCGGACATGGTGGCGGGTGCCTGTAGTCTCAGCTACTCAGGAGGCTAAGGCAGGAGAATCGCTAGAACCCGGGAAGCAGAGGTTGCAATGAGCTGAGATTGTGCCATTGCACTCCAGCCTGGAGGCCAGGCCGAGACTCCGACTCAAAAAAAAAAAAAAGAAAGAAATTATGGACTTTAGGACAATGGAAACCCTATCCAAGAAGAAGTGTACGCAGAAAGCATATTCTAGAAGGCATGAGGTGAGCTTCTTGCATTCTATGTGAAGTGGTATAATGATAACTCTAAATAAACTGTGAAAAGTTAAAGACATATATTGTATCCCTAGAGTAACCACTAAATCATAATGAGAGGTGTACCTGATATAAATAAACAGAATTCTGAAAACTGTTCCATTCATCCACAATAGCACAACAAAAGAGAGGAAAGAAGAAATAGAGGAACAAAAGAGTAGATGGGATAAATAGAAAACAGACACGAAAATGACAGATATGAATCCTACTATACCAATAATGTAATTTAATAAACATTAAATGTAATATAATTTAATATAAGACTGAACACTCCAGGCCAGGCACGGTGGCTCATGACTGTAATCCAAGCACTTCAGGAGGCTGAGGCAGGAGAATCGCTTGAAGCTGGGAGGCAGAAGATTCAGTGAGCCCAGAAAGTGCCACTGCACTCTACCCTGGGTAATAAAATGAGACTCTGTCTCAAAAAAAAAAAAAAAAAGACTAAACACTCCAAAAAGGCAGAGATCGTCAGACTGAATAAAAAAAAAATGCTGCCTACAAGAGATGCACTTTCAATGTAAACTCACAGGCAGTTTTAAAGCCAATGGATGGAAAGAGAAGTGTGGTGGGTGACCTGGAGGGAAGTGAGAGGAAAGACCCTATAGTAACCTGTGTGAAAGGTGATGTTCACAAGCAGGACAGTAACCATTAGAGAAAGATAGAACGCTGTAACGAAGAGCAGACCCCATTCTGCATGGGGTGATTATTTCACGTTGCATGATGCCTGTACCAAAACATGTTGCCATAAATACACACACCTACTATGTAGCCACAAAAATGTTTTTAAAATTAACACAACAAAACAAAAAAAGGAGAGCAAAAAAAGGAGAGGTGGCGGGCACCTGTAGTCCCAGCTGCTCAGGAGGCTGAGGCAGGAGAGTGGCGTGAACCCGGGAGGCAGAGCTTGCAGTGAGCCGAGATCGCGCCACTGCACTCTAGCCTAGGCGACAGAGTGAGACTCCGTCTCAAAAAAAAAGAGAAAAGGAAAAAAGAACTGATAGCCCTGGAGATCCTGGCACAAGTTGTGAAGGAGCAGGACAGTCACTGAGGGAGACCCATGGGTACCAGCCTAGGAAGGTCCTGGTGATCCTGTCTTGAAGTGACTGTGTGGTAAAGAATTTGACCTTGCCAAAAGAGAGGTGTGGCCTTTGCCCTCAGCTCCTGGGAAGTAATCTCTATACTCTTGGAATGTCCTCAGAGTGTCCTTGTTTACCTATTGGCCTTGGGCCACACTAGATAGTCTAATGATGTGGTTTATAATGAGGGCTTTAGGTCACAGGTATCAGCTCAACCTCTTGGAAGGGCTAGAAACTGAGGTCAGCAGTGGGAACAGTCAAGCCTTTCTACATGATCAACCACCAATAAAAAGTGGACACCAGGGCTTAGGTGCACTTTCCTGGTTGGCAAGGCTCCATGTGTATTGGCACACGTTACTGCTGGGAGGATTTAGCACTGTTTTGGGCTCCCTTCGGAGAGGACAGAAGTTCTATATGTGGAACTCTCCTAAACTCTAATTCATCGGCCTCTTCTCTTGGTTGATTTTACTTAATTAATTAATTAATTTTGAGACGGAGTCTTGCTGTGTTGCCCAGGCTGGAGTGCAGTGGCGCAATCTCGGCTAACTACAACCTCCATCTCCTGGGCTCAAGAGATTCTCCTGCCTCAGACTCCCGAGTAGCTGGGAATACAGGCACGCGCCACCATGCCCAGCTAATTTTTGTATTTTTTTTTAGTAGAGACAGGGTTTCACCGTGTTGGCCAGGCTGGTCTCAAACTCCTGACCTCAGGTGATCCAACTGCCTTGGCCTCCCAAAGTGCTGGGATTACAGGTGTGAGCTACCGCTAGCGGCCAGCTTAAAATCTTTCTGAGAATTATCCTTGGACAAAGGGTACTGTGCCATCCAAGGATATCTACCCTCCTGAGGCAGCCTACAATCAATGATTAGTTGATTTCAGAATATAAAAGCCTCCTTGCCTCCATTCACAACAATGCTGAAGGCCGTCCCAGCTCCAGAGTATAAGATTCCCTGAGGCCTCTGTTCAACAACTCCCTCAGCCCAATCCAGCTTCCCTCACTGCCTTACAGGGGTTCTAAGAGCCTGCCTAATAAACCTCCAGTGAGAAAAATCTCCATCTATGAGTCAGCTTCCCTGAGAACCCAGCCTGTATGTATAAACTGTACATACTTACAATGCATACTTTTTTTTTTTCTAGGACAGTTTCCCCAGGAAGGAAAACTGGGTTACTTAATGTGATACTCACCTGGTACTCGATCATTTTCTGCTGTTCTTGGAAAAAGATCTGACACCTGTAGACATGTGGGGGGAAGAAGATGGAGAAAGAGAACAGAGTGTAAGGGACTAGGCCTGTCTTAGAAATTGCAAATTTCCTTTGTAAATCTTGTACAAAAATCCATGCTTTTAGCTGGGTGTGGTGGCTCACACCTTATTTGAGGCCAGGAGCTAGAGACCAGCCTGGACAATATGGCAAAATGCTGTCTCTACAAAAAAAGAGAAAAAATTAGCCAGGCATGGTGTTGCACACCTGTAGTCCCAGCTATCCAGGAGGCTGAGGTGGGGGATCACTTGAGCCTAGGAGGTCAAAGCTGCAGTGAGCCATGATCCTACTACTGCAATCTGGCCTGGGTAACAGAGTAAGACCCTGTCTCAAAAATTAAATAATAAATAAACAAACAAATAAATATCCTTTATCTCTTACTTGTTTCAAATACTTTGAAATATTGTACAGGTCATAAAGCGTAGACCATAAAGCATGGTTGCCATAGTATCTAAATGCCCCACACCCCAAGACATTTAATGATTATAAAAGGAAAAGAAGTAACTTTTTCTTGGAAAAACTTGGCAGTATCGCTTAGTCAAGTGATCAGTTAACATGACCAGTAATGAGATATAAGACATCATGTGCCTTCTGATATAATGCACTGTGAAGGGTACAACATCCCTTCTGTGGTATTCACACCCCAAATGCATACCTGAACCTAATCAATGAAGAGAGACATCAGACAAAACCATACTGAGTTACAATATAAAAAATAACCTACCTATACTCTTCAAAACTCTCGACTTCATGGAATATGAAGACCGAGAAACTGCTCCTGATTAAAGGAGACTAAAGGGATGTGTCACCTGAAGGCAGCATATGATCCTGGATTGGATCCTGGGATGGAAAAAGAAAAGTTGCTATAGGGCCAGGCACAGTGGCTCACGCCTGTAATCCCAGCACTTTGGGAGGCCGAGGTGCGTGGATCGCCTGAGGTCAGGAGTTTGAGACCAGCCTGGCCAAGGTGGTGAAACCCCGTATCTACTAAAACTACACAAATTAGCCAGGCATGGTGGCAGGCGCCTCTAATCCCAGCTACTCAGGAGCCTGAGGCAGGAGAATCATTTGAACTCAGAAGGCAGAGGTTGCAGTGAGCCGAGATCACGCCATTGCACTCCAGCCTGGGTGACAAGAGTGAGATTTGGTCTCAAAAAAAAAAAAAAAGAAAGAAAAGTTGCTATAAAGTGACAGTTGACATCTGGTTGTAGACTGGATTAGTCTAGTCTATATTCTGTATTAGTCTAGTTATCATGATTATTAAATCATTATAACACTGACTTAGTAATCAGTGTTAATTGCCTGGTTCTGAAAACTACCAGTTATATAAGAAAATGTTCTCATTCTTAGGAAATATACCCTGAAGTACTTATGGGTAAAGAAGCATCATGTCCGCAAGTTAGTCTTAAGTAGTTAAAGAAAAGAAAGAATAAGAATGATATATTTATGATATAATCATCTATATACATATATATTTGTATATAGAAAGACAGCACATGTAAACATGGCTTTATATAGATAAACCTAGGTAAGGAATACATAGGAGACCACAGTAATATTCTTGCTTTTTTTTGGAAAAAAATTTCCAAATAAAATGTTTAGTTAAAAACAAAAGGCTGGGTGCGGTGGCTTACCCCTGTAATCCCAGCACTTTGGGAGGCTGAGGCAGGTGGATAACCTGAGGTCAGGAGTTTCAGATAAGCATGACCAACATAGTGAAACCCCATCTCTACTAAAAGTACAAAATTAGCCGAGTGTGGTGATGTGTGCCTATAATCCCAGCCACTTGGGAGGCTGAGGCAGGAGAATCCCTTGAACCCAGGAGGCGGAGGCTGCAGTGAGCTGCGATCGCGCCATTGCACTCCAGCCTGGGCAACAAGAGTGAAACTCCATCTCAAAAAAAAAAAAAAAAACGGGTCATGCACGGTGATTCATGCCCGTAATCCCAGCACTTTGGGAGGCTGAGGTGGGCAGATAGCTTGAGGTCAGGAGTTCGAGAATAACCTGGTCAACATGGTGAAACTCTGTCTCTACTAAAAATACAAAAATTAGCCGGGCATGGTGGTGCATGTCTGTAATTCAGAGATTGTGCCATTGACTCCAGCCTGGGTGACAAGAGTGAAACTCCGTCTCAAAAAACAAAACAAAACAAAATTATATATAGTAGGCCCATAAATTCTGCCACCACCACCGTTCTGAGAATCCAGGGCCTTTTCTGCCTCTTGAGTCAGGATGGAATGAACTCATCACATTCCAAGAGGCCAGATGAGGTACCAAAAATGACAGGAGAGCAAGTCTAGAAAGGTCCAGCAAGAATAAAGGAGCGGATGGGCCATACCCCATACCACAAGATAGCAGAATGCACTGGGCTAGATGGATGTGCCCTTCTCCTGAAAGAACGTACCTATCGCACCTGCACTGAAACTCTGGCCTCCCTACCTCTCCCTTCACTCTGTCTCCCTGGATCTTGGGCTGACCCTCCTCCCTTCATGTAGCCATGGAGAGTCCCTGGAAAGAGTAACGTCTTCAGGTTGGTCAGCTTCTGGCTCAAGGATGAAGCTATTTCCTTTTATGTGAGAGTCTTTGCTCTCACAAGAGGTATGGGGTCTCAGTGATTCCTTCAGAAGGGAATTTTCATCCCAAGTTCCCTTCTCCTGGACAGAGGGTCTTTAACCTGGCCTGCCTAGGCGCTCACAGCTCCGTCTCTCAACAGTAACTCACACTCAGCTGCAGGGCCTTCTGTAGATGTTGTAACCAAGGTCCTGTGGCTCTAAGGGCTGGCAGGAGCTAGAGAACCCTAATGTCCAGCAAGGTGGCAGGATCCAAAGGTCTGCAGGGCACCCAGAGAACCTGAAGATAAGCAGATCCCATGGTGAGAGTCATCCACTCATCCCTCCCCAAACACTGCCTGGGGCCTCAGGAGGAAAAGCCTGCAGAGGCTGTGCAGGAGACATAGCTGAGTGATGGCTCTGCTCTGGGACTGCGGCACGGGAAACTGCCACAAAGACCCTTGTGTCTGAGTCACTCCCTGAGCCAAGGAATGACTCAAGATACAAGTCTGAAGCCAAGCACTTCCTCTGACTAACTGAGAGAATCTGGGCTAGACACTTTACCTCTCTAGGCCTGTTTCCTCATCTGTGAAAACAGAAAGAGGCTGTCAAACAGACTTGAAAACCTGAAAACCTGGGTTCAAATGCAGGCTCTGCCATTTACTGATGTGTGATGTTGAATGAGTTACTTAGTCTCTCTGTGTCTCAATATCCCCATCATTTATTTATTATTTTACCCTCCTTTGATTTCTAATGGAGAAAGACATTTTCCCCATCTATTTATTGGCCATTTGCATTTCTTTTGTAAACAATCTGTTTATGCACTTATGATTTTCCTGAGTTATTTGCAAAAATTAATTTACAAGTGCTCTTTATATATTAAGGCTATTAATCCTTTGTCATATTTGTTATAAACATGTTTTTATAGATAACATTTGTCCTTATTTGTCATTTGTCCTTAAACTTGGGTTTATTAGTTTCCAAATACCAAACAAGTTTTATTGGTTATTTTTAATAGTCAATTTGTTGATTTTTTTCCCCTTATAGTTTCTGCTTCTGGTAGTCTTTTCAGTAAAAGTCTTTCCTACAAGATTATTAAAATGGTCTTTTTGGCTTACAAGATTGGTAAAGATGGAAATCATATCTCTTACACTGCTGGTAGGAGGGTAGGATATTACAGCTTTCTGAAGGGAATTTATATCAGAATTTTTTTTTTTTTTTTTTTTCTGAGACAGAGTCTTACTCTGTTGCCCAGGCTGGAGTGCAGTGGCGAGATCTAGGATCACTGCAAGCTCTGCCTCCTGGGTTCACACCATTCTCCTGCCTCAGCCTCCCCAGTAGCTGGGACTACAGGTGCCCGCCACCACGCGGTTAATTAGCCTGGCTAATTTTTTTGTATTTTTAGTAGAGTCGGGGTTTCACCATGTTAGTCAGGATGGTCTCAATCTCCTGACCTCATGATCCACCCACCTCAGCCTCCCAAAGTGCTGGGATTACAGGCGTGAGCCACCACGCCCGGCCCTATCAGAATTTTTAGAGTGCACACTCATTAAACCACTCTTTAACATCAAATGATGTGTCTCTATGAACTAATTCGTCTCACTAAAATAAAAGATAAAGGTACAAGGATGTTCATCTCACCTTTGCTTACAAAAGTAAAACAACTGGAAGCAATCAAAATGTGCCAACAATAATTTATTTATTTTTTCATTTATCTGTTTCTTTATTTGAGATAGCCTGGAGTACAGTGGCATGATCATGGCTTGCTGCAGCCTCAAACTCCCAGGCTCAGGTGATCCTCCCACCTCAGCATCCGAGTAGGAGGGACTATAGATGTGCACCAGGGCACTTGGCTAATTTTTTTTTTTCTTTTGTAGAGACAGCGTTTCGCCATGTTTCCCAGGCTGGTCTTAGACTCCTGGACTCAAGCAATCCACCCACCCTGGCCTCCCAAAGTGCTGGGATTATAGGTGTGAGCCTATAATCCCACACCCAGCCTGTCCCAGCAATTAAAAGATGGGCGGGCTGATATTGGTGAGCCACAGAATGGAACACAACGCAGGCATTAGAAATAGTAGTGGAGGCTGGGCGCGGTGGCTCACACCTTGTAATCCCAGCACTTTGGGAGGCCAAGGCAGGCAGATCAACTGAGGTCAGGAATTCGAGACTGGCCTGGCCAACATAGCAAAACCCCGTCTCTACTAAAAACAGAAAAAATTAGCTGGGCGTGGTGGGAGGCATCTGTAATCCCAGCTACTCGAGAGTTTGAGACGGGAGAATCACTTGAACCCAGGAGGCGGAGGTTGCAGTGAGCCGAGATTGCACCACTGCACTCCAGCCTGGGTGACAGAGTTACACTCCACCTCAGGAAAAAAAAAAAAAAGAAATAGTAATGGAGTGGTGTACTCCGATTTGGAACTACATTTGTGATGTATTTTGAAGCAGGAAATACAAGTCATAACATATGATGTGAAGCATAATTCTATTTTTTAAATTATGTAAGTCCAAATCTATGAAAATATTAACAATTGCTTTCTCTGAGTGAGGGGATCGAAAGGAATTTACATTGCATTTTTGAAGTGTTCATTTTCTAACTTTTCCAATAGCCTCATAATTATATATTTATTTAGATAATAGCAATAATAACAATAACAAAATTTACAATAATGACCAATCAAAACAAGCATGGTCTTACATAGGAAGAACAAATAAAACTATGACACATCATAGAAACTGACAGAAATAGAAAAGAAAAAAAAAAAAGCCTAGCTTGTATTTATTGAGCCCTGATCTCAACTTAGGCACTGTGCAGGTTATTTCCTCAAATTGACTCATTTATTCCTCACATTGCCCTCTAAACCGAGTCCTACTCCGTTTCTAGATAAAGACATAGTACCTGAGAGAGCTGAAGAACTAGCACACAGCAGCACTGAGATATATCACCCAACTAGCCTGGCTATGGTGCTTCGGTTTATAACTTCTTAGTCTTGCTGCCTCTCAGAGACAGATTTGCCTTCTAAAAGAGCAATGCAACATTTGATGTGCTTTTTTTTTTTTTCTAGACAGAGTTTCTCTCTTGTTGCCCAGACTGGAGTGTAGTGGTGCGATCTCAGCCCACTGCAGCCTCCACCTCCTGGGTTCAAGGGATTCTCCTGCCTCAGCCTCCCAAGTAGCTGGGATTACAGGCACCTCCAGCTATAGATTACTAAAATCACCTCCAGCTGTAGATACAGACTAAAATATTAAGGCAGGAAACAGTAACTGGATACATATGGTAAAACTATGATGAAT